CAGGGAAGAGCCCTCCAGAGCAGGCCTATGGACTTCCACCTCAGCCAAGGAGAGACCCCAGCACCTGATGCAGTAACACCCGATTTCTCTTCTGGAAATCTACCCTAAGATTGTACTCTGAAATATAGAAACACCTGCAAGTACAACATCATGACAGTCATGGCTAGAAACATCAAAGCCCGACGCTGTGTGAATGCCTACAGGTGGTGCCAGGGTACGTGGTGGTGAAGCGGACAGCAGGACGTGACAGTGCTGCATGAGCTCGTGTGGAAGCAGAGCAGTCTGAGCTCGAATCCTGCCCTGGCACAGCTGCAAGCCCTGGGCACAACGCTCCACCTTTCCTTGTCTACAAAACCAGATCCTCTTCCTCTAAAGGCTGCTGAGATTAACAGAAGTGGAAATGAAACAGCTTCCTGAGGGGCCTGGACCAGAGCCACCCAACAAAAGTTACTCTCCTCGTTCCCTCCTGCGTTCTTCGTAATGTAGTTGCTGGGGAAAACCCTAAGAGAGGACTCCAGATACAAAACAATCTCATAAGATGTGCACACTGCACAACCGCGCACACGTGTGTATGTGCCTGTGCTGTATGCACGTATGAGTGCACGTGTGTCCTGTATGTACAGTGCCTGTGTCTGTGTGTACTAACCGAAGAATTTCGGTGAAGGCCTGGAAACAGTAAGGAGCTGTTTACACTGCAGCACAGTGAGAAGTTCCAGGCTGACTACTAGATAACACGGATTCCCAGAACAAACTCAAAGCCTAGTGTCACCTGAAAACCTAGTGTCTCTAGATGGTTAACACTACTAATCTGTATGACAGACCTACAGTAAGAAGTAACTTTCCCTCCCTTCCCAGATCTACTGTTGCCTAATATCTTTCCTAAAGGCGACTGCCCTGCTTTCCTATCTCTGCCTGTATACCCACGTATTTCTAAACGTATACGAATGACGGCACAGATGTCTCTAGATGTCACGCACTCCGTTGTCGAACAGAGATGAGAGCATGTTTCCACCTACTCAGAGTTTTCACATAATACATACTCACAGTAAGGAAGGCAAAACAAAGACCAGCTAGTGAAGAAGTGGCTGATTACTCACTCCCTCGGGTTAGCACAAACACTACAATCAATATTAATAAAAAAATACCTGCAGTAGATGTTATTACTTTATTAGGTTGTCGGAAAGTCGTGATGTGTTTTTCTATGCAAAAATGTGTCATGAGTTTCCTAATGATCCAATATTTTTAATTGCCACAGGGCACGTGTACTCACCAGAGAGAGGCAGAGACAAAGAGGGAGAAGAAAGCATCCCCAATGGGGCGTGGTCATGCTGCAATCCCTTCTACTCCATTTCTCCATCCTATTGGAATCTTGGGCACACACGTACACGTGCCTGGTATGTATTTCAAGTCACTGAGGCTGGGAATGGAGCCACAGTGGCCATGTGGGATACAACTCCCTTTAACTACTAGGCTACTGGGCCAGCCTTATAATAGACTTCTGTTTTTTCTAGTGTGAAACAAATGAAGGGCCTTAATTAAATTCGTCAACAGGCCTGACAGCTACTTTACCTTTTCTAATAAAAACAGCGCCTCTGCGGCATCTGCTTGCTTGTCAATCAACATGTCCACGTCCTCTTTGGTGATCACAGGCTCCTTTAGCTGCTCCACCCAAGACCACATCAAACTGCACAGGATGAAAGGGTCTTTCTCGCCACATATTCTTTCCCAAGCTCCATCTCGGGAGTTTAGTTCTTTCTAAAAAAGGAGAGAGAGAAATACAGACAGAGACAGACAGACAGAAGAAAGGCAGGCCTGCAGATCGACACTGATGATCCTCAGGTACCCATGAGAGGGAGAGGCTTGGGTTCTCTGGTGTGGATCTGGGACCCTGTCCAGCTCCTCCACTTCCAGGCAAGACACTGGGCTAAGACACTGAACTTCTCTGAGGCTGTGAAGCTCATCCCTGGCTTGACCAGGCACTGGCAGACTGACTGTTAATGCTCGTAATACAGAAGTGACTTATCTAATTAAGTTCTCTATTTCATTCAGAAACCATAAAACAGTCCAGGAAGAAGGAGTCTTCCTTCTCAGGCTTCTGGCCAACCAAATAGAAATCACTCATTGCAATCAAGTAGAATGGCAGGTAGAATAATGCTAATAAAGGGACATTTACAAAGCAACTTCAGATCAAAGGATAAGTTTTTAATGGAAACTTTGAAATGTACACACACACATGAAAAAAGACAAGTGCTTTAAATCCTATGTAGAACTTAACAAAAAGACAAGCCCCATGTTCTGACATTTGAGAGGGTAAAAATAAGTAGGAAGTCTTGCTAATATTCCAAGTGCCTGGAGACAATATAAGCATGAGATTTTAAAACTTCGTTTAACAGAGAAAAGGGGAAAAGTGAGATAAGAATTTTAATTAATTTTTAGCACGGTTCAGATTCTTGTTTCAGTAAATCAAATTTTTGCAAAAGTCATAAGCATAATAATTGCTACCATCCATTTATCCATTCAGCCACCCCATATTTTACCTCATGCTTACAGAGGGAAAGAAACCACAATCCACAGCCCATCTCAGACTCTCGCAGCGCCCCAGCAGACAGGTCTCCTTGAAGATGAAGGCCCTGGGGCTCAAGGAGAGCAGACATAACTCACACAGGAGCCCAAAGCTAGCAGGGGTTGGCAGCCAGTTCTGCCTGGCTCCAGACCGTGCTCTTTCTACCACACTACAAGGACCTTCCGGTACTGGGTTTCTCTTTATAACCTTATAAGTAAGCCAATAATTTCAGGTGTGTATAGTCCTTCCCTTCCTATAGATTACATATATGTAACAAAGGGCCTTTTATTCCATTTTACCTAGCTGAGGAGAGACGCTGGGTAGGACTAACGCTGCTCAAAACACTCTTCGTAGAATGACTACTGCATCGTGATCCCTGAAGCTTTCCAGTGAAGTTAGGACATGTCCTTGGAAATGGAGACTATTACCTGCCACCACATATGAGCCATGTGACCTCCAGCAAGTCACTGAACCTTAGTGACCCTCAGTTCCCTCATCTGTCATACTAAATTCCCAAGATTAACAAAGAATCTATAAGTAGTATGATCTGCCGCTCAGGACTGTGAAAAAGCACATGAAATAATAAATGTGAAAAGACCCAGTACAGGCACAGGTACATTATACCATTCAAATAATGTCCATTTAACTCTTTTTCAACATTCTACTGACTTTTAAAAAATTACTCAAAATCCTAAAATAAAATCTAGAAAGAAAAAAGACAAAACTATCCAATTAAAGATGTGTGTTTACCTCCAGAAAAAATGCTTTCATATATGCCACATGTTGAAACTGTCTAACCCAAACCAAGCCCTTAACTCTTCAGTACAAACAGAGCTGCCAGGTCACCTGGATGGAGGGGCACAGAGGGGCTGAGCCAGGATGGGGGCAGTGAGTTGTTATTTTCTTAACCTAAAATGGAATCCACTTGTTTACTAACTCATGATACATAATAATGCACAGGAAATGTTTGCTGACTGAAGGAAAGACTTTTCAGTATGGAGTAGGAAACAGGAAAAACAAATCCATCTTGGAAGAAGCAATGTATTTAGTTATTTGTTAAGCAACACACTGTAATTCTGATCAACCAAACTTTTATCAGAAGTTCTTTCCTCCTGGGGCCAGCATGTGGCATGGCGGTTAAGGCGGTTGGGTTCCCACACAGCTGACTACAGCTCGAGTCTCAGACCTGGCAGTTCAAAAACCATGCCAGTTGCACGTGCACGCATCCCACGGGCACGCATGCCAAAAGTCCCAAGAAGAGAATGGAGGAGAAGGGATTGTATGGCTATACTACCAGCGGGAGATTTTTCACTTTCTCTGTCTGTCTGTCTCTGGTGAGTGTACGCACCCTATGGCAAAAATCTAAAAAAGAAAAAGAAAAAAATTATTTCCTCCCAACACATAAGTTAGGTCGAGACTCCAAACATAGCTGTCATGCTTCTGCATATGAAGAGATACTGACATCCTTAGATACTTTTATGCCCTGTTTAATTAACAGTAGCAAATGGAAGAGTAGCAACTAAACACAGGAGATCACGGGCTGAGTGGGAGCGATTTACCTGTTTCTGATAACTAGGTCTACAAAGCCTGTCTTTCCTCGAGACCAGGGGCTCACTTGGGCAGAGAGCAGTTAATTCAAAACTTTTCAGTAAAGTATAACACAAAAAAGGGCTAAAATTTAAAAATTTATATTCTAATTTAAGTAAATGCAAGAAATGGACCCCCAAGACCTAATGTTGGGTAAAATAAAGGGCATGATGATTTTCTATAGTTCCTCCTGTTTGCTTCCGTGAATCCTAAGCAGCATCAGCAGAAGTCTGAAGGAGAGGATGGGGAAGAGACGGCCTCACTCTTCTGACCTCACTCAATACCCATGCTGGTGAGTTTAGAAATAACTTCGCTCTTGGGACCAGCAGTTAGCGTAATGACCATGTCACTGGACTCCTATGTAGTCAACTGCGGTTCAAGTCCAGGACCCAGTGGCTTAAACTCACGCCGGGCACATGTGCGTGTGTGCCCAAGATCCCGAGAGGAGAATGGAGAAGAAGGGATTGCGAAGTGGCCATCCCACCTAAGGTATGCTTTCTTGCTTTCTGTCTCTCTCTCTCTGTTTTTCTGGCGATCACACACAAAAACCTCTCCCAAAAAAAAGAAAAGAAAGAAAGAACTTCATTCTGTCTCTAGGTCAGTGGGTCTCAGTGTGGGGCTCCCTGCACCAGGCCTCGGGTTAGAGATCTTTGAGGTAAGTCCCTAGCACTGTCTGTTCTGGACCACTCACTCCCGCAGACCCAGAGAGAAAGCAAAAGCTTTGTGTGAGTGCTTTCTTGCCTTTGGAGATTTAAATAAACAAAACCAAACAACCACCCTGTGTGTTGTATCTCTAGAATATCAGGTTCGCAATATAATTGAGAAACCTGAAGTTCGAAAGTTAAGTATTATGCAAACATACCCTTATATTTCTATAGAAATTAGGTTTGAAGAGATGCAATATATTTTTGCTCTGACATACATAGTTCACACACACACACTTGTATAATTAAAGGAAATACCAATACCTGCCACATTTCTACCTTCCTTTTAACTTCCTCCTTTTCCACGAACTCATTTAAATTTGCCAGGGCCTTGGCTGCCAGTATTCTCCTCGCCTGGACACTCGGTTCAGATGGCAAAGCAGTGTGTGGTGCTGCTTCGGACAGTTCTTTGCTCTGGTGGGTTTCGTGTCCATCTGAGAACTGTGCTCTGGGACTGGAGCCACCATCTAGAGGGCTAGAGTGGGGCTGGCTGTCCTCCTCAATAGAAGCCGGGCCCCAGCCACAAGTGTCATGCCGGCAGCGGGCCACTGGCTGGTGAGAGGGGTTTGGATCCTTATGGACATTTGCAGAGCTGGGTGTGAATGGCTCCCCAGGGTTGTGTGACCCTGAGACACCTGCAGAGAAGGTTCTACTCCGTTTTATTTCCTTTGGGATGTCCTTTCTATGGAAAAGTGGTGACTCATCATCTTTGGGTCCTTCCAAGCCTCCCACCTTAGACTGATTCCAGAAAGAAAATGTACCACGAACAAATGCTTCCTTATTTAATTCCAGCCCTGGGGACTGCGGGGTGCAGCAATGGCTCACAGGCTTCTGTTGCCTGAGGTTTTGGCAGAGCAGGACCTGGGCAGGGACCGTCCAAGGAGTCTCCCCTTGCTCCAGGAGTGCCGCGGCCCTCTTCAAATCAGAGTCGCTGTAGCTGAGCCGCCTTTCCAGGCGCGTTAAGGGTTGAAGATACTCAACGTTCCGCCTCTTCCAAAGGGGATCGAGCCCTCGCTCACAGGGAAGAATCACACCAGGATTCTCTGCAGCAGTGGGAAATGGGTCAGACGTGTCACTGTCATGCCTCAGTAATCCTTCATTCAACTGCACTGTGACCATCTCAGACACAGTCTTTTCAATTTCAGCAGAGAGACTGGGGCCTTCAAACACGTCCTTCACCACCACTGGCCTGTTCTCGGTGAGGTCTAACAGCAGTCTGCAAACCAGGTGGATGATTTTGGGCACGTGTTTCAGAAGTCGTGCTTCGTAACCGTGAAGCAGGTGACGTTGGCGAATCAGATACTGAGCTAAGGTGACAGAATGAGCTTTGGGATCACAGCAAGAGAATATATTGCGAAGAGGGGTCAGAAACTGAGTGAATTCCCTTACACAGAGCAGCTGTCCTCTGGTTTGTATGGAATTGGGTCGCTTTGCCCGCACAAATATAATCGCTTGGTCAGCAGTCATTCTTGTTGCAAAAACTAAGTAACAGGCTATTAAAACACCTAAGCAGTTAAGAAGAGAAGACCAGATGAGGAAAGGTTATCATTTATTTTATTTATTATTCTTTGATGACTTAAAATTTGAATGTGCTAACTGCAATCAGCAGACACATTTTAAAGAGTGATAATGCTATAACTCTGGTAGATGCTCATTACTGCACTTCCCTTACAGCGGAGCACTGCTTACAAGTATGTCTAAGTGGTACCCTCCCCATGACTGCGTCATCTCTGAACCCACAGATGGGCTGGCACTATGTGGGTGGGAAGTGCGAAGCAGAGAAGGGATGACGGTGGGCACGGAAGATCTGGGCCCCCTAATCTCTGCACCCAACACCAGTGCTGAGGAAAGCAAGTCCTGGTTCTCTTTTCTTCTCTGAACAGCTCTGGTGGATCTCCTCAGAATCATCCCTCTGCAGTGTGCAGGAGCCTCCCAGCCCCGCCACCTTTGCCATTCACTACAGGCTACTCCTCTCTCTACCTGGGCAGTTTGTCCTTTGGCTAGCATTCAAATTCATAGCCTACTTTTCTTCTTGACAATTCCTCCAGATGTGTGTCTACACTAATGTATGTTTTCTTCAGACCATGATATAACTGTTTTTCTAAAAGCATTAAGGAAGTTAGCCTTACCAGTGTAAACACTAGATAGTCTTATAATTATCTAATAAAAAGTTCATGATTAATTAAAATAATAGTCAATTAGCACACACACACACATGCCCAGCGTGATTACAAACTGCCAGGTCTAAAACTCCAGTGGCAGCTGACCATGTGGGAGTCCAGTGCCTCAACCACTACGCCACCTGCTGGCCCAAGTAGTCAATTAATATTAAAGTAAAAGGCAAATCAAACACACCTGCGTGAGTCAAAAGTTTGTATCTTGTTACATATGAAAGTCAGACCCTCTGACAATTTGTGTTCTCTAGTTCAACGTATCTTTCTCACTAGGACATGGAAGGTCTTCAATGTACGTATAAAACACCTGCAGAACTGTTACATGCAATGCCACCAACAGCGAGATTTTGGCTTGACCCTAAGAGCTGATGACCTTGAGCAGAGCTGAGTCCCACCCCTGAAGACCCCCTTTGGTGCACAGGTACACTATGGATGGAGTCAGGAGCAGGTGTTTTTGGGACCAGGTGACAATGAAGAGTTCAACCCTAAGGCCTGCCTTTTTGCCCTACTGTCATCACTGTAATGAGATGTTGCTAAATTTTTAAGTAAAATCACTAACTTTTATATAGAATTCTACACACAGGAAGACGACCTTCCTTCACAGACAAAATCTTTACACCTCCAAAAGCAAAAGCACATGAACTTCGGAGTTAGCCATGGATTTAAATTTTGCCCTGCCACCTAACTAATGTAGCAAATTAATTTCTCTCAAACTACAGTTTCTTCAACTTACATTGCTGCTCAAGATTTTAAAAGACAGTAAATGTAAAAATGCTTAGAAGATAGTTGGTGAAATAATGCTTATTATTTTCATTGTATTTTGGTTAAATTATATTTTAAAAAGACATATATTAAATGAAGTACTGACTTCTTTCTCTTTAAATAAGAAAATGAGGAACATAGTGGTCATTTAGCTAGTATTGAAAACCCACTTATGCACTAACTATGATGAATTTTCAGTCCCAAGTCATTAAAAAGTACTATCACCAACATATAGTCACTGTAACTGCCTATTTGAGGTATTTCAAGTGTCTTTTACTTCTATTTGACTCCAAAATTTTGATAGGATTTAGAAACATATTTATCCTCAGAATTGGGAACTCTTAATCCTTACATTGTAAATATGCCCACAAGACAACATAAGCGGCTCGTAGAAATTACCTGTTCGACCGAGACCTGCATGACAATGGATTGCTACTTTTCCTTCCTGTAAAGCAAACGTCATCACCTTCACCATATCCAAAATAGTGGTAAGAGACGCTACGCCATAATCCTTCCATCCAAAATTGTAGAAATAGACTAGGCAATGGAAAAAAGAAACGGGAAAAATAATCAGCATACAGGAAATGATTGTAAAGACATTTGAAGAAAACGAGTGAATTCGTGAAAAGTACCAAACTTTAAGGCACATCACTCTCTCTCAAAATACAGGCCTAACCTGATAGCCTTTTTACATTTCCAGTAAGTTCACTGATAAGATTTCTCACAAGGCACGTTCTGGATGTACTACTTAAGTTATTTCCTGCTAAAAAAAACAAAAAGAATTGTGAAAAAGTATAATTACAAATTAATAAAGTTAATGACCCACGTTAAAGTTACTCAGGTATGGAGGGAAAGCATATGCTCTTTTTTTTTTTAAACATATACTTGTTTGAGGGGCCGGCAAGTGGCGTGGTGGTTAAAGGCACTGGACTCCCACATGGCTGACCACGGTTCAAGTCTTGGACCTGGTGGCTTGCTTTCTCACTTCCTCTCTCTCTCTCTGTCTCTCTCTGATCAAACTGAAAAATAATAATGATATAATAATAAATAAAGTAAAATAAAATAATTCTTTAAAAAAAACATATACTTGTTTGAGCATGGAAACAAGGTAGGTGTGTACGTGTATTATGTGTGTACACATTCACAAAAGCCAGACATAGCTTCTTTTTTATTCTTGAGAGGTTTTTGCTATAGGGCACGTGTGCTCGCCAGAAAGACAGAGAGAGACAGAGAGAAAGCGAGAAATCACCCCCCAGGGGGGATGGCCACATTGCAATCCCTTCTCCTCCATTCTCTCTTGGGATCTTGGGCATGCACGCACATGTACCCGGTGTGAGTTTAAGCCACTGGGTGCTGGACTTGAACCATAGTCGACTACATGAGAGTCCAACGACATAGCCATTACGCCAACTGCTGGTCCTACCAGACATCGCTTCTTAAAACAAGTTCCAAGAGGGCATAAGTTTATTCCTCCCAGCCTGGTATAAGTGAGAAGTATTAGCTGGATTCCACCCCAAAGCCCTCTCGCTGAGGAGCCTTGGGATCATCACAAGAAGACTCCCTGTGTGGGCAGCTATGAAAGTAGGAGTGTGTCCAGGTTCTAATCCTGCCTGCCATTTTTATGCTCTGCTATTTCAACAGGTCAGTAACTCTGTCTCTGGACTCATGCATACAAAATAAAATAACAGCAGTATGTCACACAGCTGCCGTACAGACTGGCCGAGATATCAACGTCGGGCACACTACTAGCACTGACTGCTAACCGTCACTACTACCGGGTCTCCTCCGAATCCCCACGACAGGGAAAACCCCTGGTCCTTTTTTTTTCTTTAATTTATTTTATACATTCAATCTCTGTACATCACTTGGCCTTTAAAGTGAATTTACCCAACATAAGTACACCTCACAGCAGTCCAGCTGAGGACACTATACAAGTTATCATCAAAAGACAACACACAGTGCTAACAAAGAGGGATGAAAGTGGTATCGTTTAAAGCGAAAGCTGGCTCGTTTCACATTTATGAGCCTAGAACTATGCAGTAGGTGTTTATTTCCATTGCCATGGCAACCTAAGAGCCCCTAGGTGACAATCTCTGAGTACTATGCATGACAGCTCACCCAGAGGAGGGAATACTTACTGCCGGCCTCCATGAAAGTCTCGGGAAGATATGTGAAGCCACTCTCTTGCTCCAGAGGGTTCCCACAGCTTGCATGCTCACCAGGGCGCTGCAGGTTGATGACTGTTTTGATGCCATGGCTTAACAAAAAAGAGCAATTAATCATATTGAGAGCTAGCATTTCAAAAAAGTAACCACTGGAACCAGTAGGTGGTGTGGTGGTCAAGGCTCTGGACTCCCACATGGCCAACCATAGTTTGAGCCCCGGACCCAGTAACTTGAAAATCATTCCAGGCACATGTTCATGCATACCTAAAATCCCAGGAGAACAGAAGAGAAAAGACTATGGTGTGCCATCCTCTCTGGGGTGAGATTCCTCACTTTCCCTTTCACTGTCTCTGTCTCTCTTCAGTGAGTACACATGCCCAATGGCAGACACTTAAAAAATAAAGTAACTATCTGGAATAAATATTATTAACTATTTACAAAACTTTAATTTCTTACATGAAACAGGCTCCAAATTGCCTATTGTGAAAATGAAAGCACTGGCCAGTCAGTAGCATGGTGGTCAAAGTGGCTGGATCCCATACGGCCCACCGAGAGGTTTGAGTCCAAGACCTAGGGGCTTGAAAAACACAGAGTGTATGTGTGTGTGCATGTGTGTGTGTGTGTGCGTGTGCACCCAAAATCCTGAGAAGAGAATACAGGAGAAGAGATTGCACCTTGGCCATCCCCCCTCAGTGGTGCTTTTTCACTTTCCCTCTCTCAGTCTCTCTTTGGTGAGTGCAAATGTCCTATAGCAAATTAAAAACAACAAAAATCCAAAAGCACTTATTCACTTGAAGGCAAAGTAATGACAGAAAAACAACCACGTGCCTGCTCCCTGTGCAGTGAGTGACGCAGCTCTTACCCGAGGAACTGCTCAATGATGCGGTACTTCTCCAGAAGCTCCGAGGATGGGCGTGCCATAGCCAGGATGTTGTCTGTGATCCTGCAGGTGCGGGCAGAGACAGGTGAGACGCACGGACCTAGAACACTCAGACTCCAAAGACTAAGAGATGATTCTGTGAATGATTTGAACAACTCTGTAAGAAAATTTCTATAGCTATGCAAATCTGGCTTCCATTTTGCATCATGAGTAGAGAGAACTCCAAGAAACCTGAGCTGAAATCCCTAGAAAATATTCCAGGATTCCAGCCAAGCACTGCCAAGGACTCTCAAGAGATTCTGGTGGGCATGACAGAACAACCTCAGCTGGTTAGTGACTATATGAGGGCCAATGGGAGGCATTTTCAGTTATTCATCTGAACCTCAGTTACCTAACATCTTAAATGGAGATAAGAATGGCTGCCTCCCTGAGTTGGTGTGAGAATTCAACATGGTGTGAATACAATGTTTTCAGCACAAATCCTGGCATGTGGTGAAGAATAAATACTAAGTTGAAATTTAGCAAAAAAATGAAAAAGCCCTAGTCATTGGGGCCTGGTTTCAAATGCTGGTTTTTCTACTTGCTAGCTGTGTAGCAAAATACTGAGTCTCTCTGGGACTCAGTTCCTTCATCAATAGAGTGGCATTAACAACTCAAGAGTTTTAAGTTGAGATACGGCAGTTTGTAGGCACCATGCACATTGCCTGACCTATAGCTAAATGGATGTCTAGTGGTCAAATGAGTGGATGGAACTGTGAATGGCTGTTGTCCTCATCAGGCCTCACTCGTCCTGGTCAAGGTTCTAATCAGTAGTCTGATAAAAGATACACAAGGCAGTCTGGAAGTTGCAGGTCACGTGAATCTCAGAGGAGTAACAGACACATGGGATTAGCAGGCCAGGATCCAAAAATACACTCATCCCCCTGAAACAATGCTTGAGAGTTAATATGAATCCCATAGGTCTGGGACCTCCAAATTTTCTTAGTACTTCGTATAAGATGAAGGAAAATGTGGAATGATGGTAGCAGGGTGAAAAGAGACTTACCTGGTTTAATCAACAATGAAGCAAAAATATTAATGTGATCATAAGCTGCATTATTAGAAATTTACTATGCCTCAGGAATGATTTTTGCTTCTTCATACCAATAGCATGATAGTCACAGACCAGAATATGATCTGTGGAGAACAACAATGACAGGAGACCCTGGACTGCATCATTACAGAGGGACCCACCAAATCCAACACGGAAAAGTACATGTGGCAAGTTCCATAAGATGGTGGACGAATACCTAATTAAATATGGGTTCATGTTATATAAAGTAATTCACCACAAGGATTCTTTAAACAGTGAATTCTTCTAAGTATGTTTCAAATGTGAATTATCCGAATTTTTCAGATGTCACTACATCAGAAAGCAAAGGTATACTTGACTAATTCACTGTTACTAATAAAAAGCAATATGATACAAGAGTGATATTAGTTACACCTCTACACCAAAAACAATACAAGTACCTATGCTGTCTGTTGAGCTGACAACTTGTACCACTTATTCTTAAGACAGTTTGGAGTGCATCTGTGCGAAAATGTATCCTTTCATACAGAGTCAACATGAAAGTGAGACTGTTAAAGCTTATGTGTACTAAATTAAAAACTATACTCATACTTTGCCATTTTCGCAAACTTACAGCTGGACATTTTTATTATTTCTAGCAGTTTCTGAAATTTAAGAGCTGTGTGATTACCCATTTCTTTAGGATACTTTACATACATCATTTCACTTAGTTAAAAATACTGTGGTATTAGTTTTGTAAATTCCATTTTATAGATAAGGAAATTGAGGCTCAGCAGGCCAGTCTCTGGGCAGAGCCAGGGATGGAGGTGAGGTCCTGGCACTGCACTCCACATCCCACGCCTTCCACTCACACTCATCTTCCTTTACCTTTCAGAGCCTTCCCAGACAGACAGGCCACTCACCAGGATGAGTAAACTCCCTTAATGGCTTGCTCCTGCTCGCTCCAGCGGGCTGGGTTCTCGTACTTGCATGCTCTACCACCACACGCCATGGAGCACGCCATGTGTCCAGGAATGACATGCCGTAAACGCTCTCCTACTTTTGTGTACTTTGCAGTTGGACGTCCTGAATTCCCTAGAACATACCAGGAAGGGAAGACTCAAAATTCTACTCTCCACATGGAAAGATGGAAACAGCATCCATTTTAGCTCAGGACTACAGACGACAAGCTGGTGTTAAAACCCCTTCCCATCAAAGAAAGAAAACCATTCCCAAAGTGCACTCTCTTAGCACTGAAGATGCCTTCACACACCACATCTCCACGTTACACTGGTACGGGCAGAAAGAAACTACAACAGCAGATCTTTTACTAGGGGATACTTGGCTCAAAAACTACCTTTTAAAGGAAAAAAAAACAACATTGGATCATTTTACTGCCTTAGTATTTACTAACACTGCGCAACAGACAGAGAAAGGATACTACGGAGTAATCGTCAATATTTAAAAGGGCACAAACATAAAGTAGCCTATTCCTGACCCTTATATTCAGAACAAAGGTGTGGCGATCTGTAAGGAGAAAGAGAACTTTACTTTTTCTCTCGGGGAAAGTGGGGCTCCCCTCGGCGTGGCTGACGGAGGACACAGCCACCATCACCTGGAGTGAGGACGAGGACAGCAGATTAGAAGCAGCAGCAGAGCCCCTCCGGGCCTGCTGCAGCCGCAGGATCGGGTCTGAGGTGGAATGCCGGCGGCCCTGCAGGAAGGAGCTGAGGAAGTGCACGGCCGAGGGCCGCCGCGGCGCGTCCTGCGCTAGCATGGCTCTGGGCTCCGGGAGGCCAGCGCTGGAGGCAGCTCGCTCTCGTTCAGTGGGGAAGCAGCAGCAGCCAGGACTCCGCAGTGTTCTGTGTGATCTAACAGCTATTCAGGATAGGCGGACTTGTTTCCATAGTGACAAACAAAGAAACTACTGATTCCCACTTAGATCTGGAGAGGCAAAATCCCACACGAACTGACTGCATTTTGGACAAACTGTTCTAATACAGCAGAGAATAATATGCATTTTAAATAGATGATTCCTAAATCTAGACTATTTGTTTTTCAAACACACTTAAAACATCTGACCACTCAATTACCCAAAAATACTGTAATGAATTTAGAAAAATGTCTCTACAATGCAAACTGTGCCTTTTACACATATATTACAAGGTTTAAATTCTATTATTCTTTATATAGCTATTCTCTGGATATTTTGAAAAGGAAAACAAATAAACAAAACCTCTCTACTCCTCTCCGAAACAGGGCAGATGAAAGGTTAATTGTAAGAAAGTGGAATAAGCCTGAAACCTTACATCATTGAGAGATCATTCGATTTTTCAAAACCACCCTCCCTTATACTTTGAGAGAAGTGTTAAAGAAACACTTGGGTAGAACAAATAAAATCATTTTAGAGTTCATACATTCTTAAGAGACAGTTAAGTTTGTTTTTTCTTTTTTTTTTTTTCAGAACACTTCAGCACTATGCTTGCATAGGCTGGTTATCCGGTAAGCCAGGCCTCTAAAGCTCAAAAGCACAATTCTCTGCCTCTCATTGCTATGGGGATAAAAGAAGTTTGGCTCAAGTCTTGGCAAGGGCATATGAATAAAATTCATGAAGTATCACATTTTTAAGGAACTGGGCGAGGGAGGTTGCATTAGGACAAAGGATACAAGGAAACAGACCATGAACCCGCCAACCCACCAGTGCACTCGGTCTGTCGCCTCTGCTTAAGGCAGGGTGCGCCCGCGCTCACTCGCTCAGACACTCTCTTCTTAAAGGGCATTTCAGCTGTGTGGGGACAGAAGCTGCTGCCATAGAGAAGGCCCCTTTCTGTTCTGCTCTGTTCTAGTACGTGATTACTAACGTTATAAGCAAGCACCACCCCCAGCTCCCCAACAATACACACTTTGGTCAAATAAGACAGAAGTGACAAAGGCACTTCAAAGGTTCTTGGAAAATGGAATTAAAGTACAAGTATTGGGGTGCAAAAAACAATTTGCTATCCATGCACAGTTTTTTCATAATGTGCATTTTCCATAAAGTTTTTGAAGACCCCCATGCAGATGCCCAATTTGCGCTCAAATTCCCGCTCCATGTGTACTCCTGTGCCCTCCTTATTCAGTACACAAAACGACTCATTGTTTTTTTAAGTTTTGAGAGTTTATTTATTTACTTTAGATTTTTGCCAAAGGGTGCATGTGCTCACTGGAGAGAGACAGAGATAATGAGAAGGAAAGTGAGAAATCACCCCTTAGGAGGGATGGCCACACCACAATCTCTTCTCCATTCTCTTCTTGGAACAAGCATGCATACACATGTGCCTGGTATGAGCTTCTTTTCTTTTAAAAAGAATTACTTATATTACTTTTATTTATTATTATTTTTAAATTTGACCAGAGAGAGACAGAAAGAGGGAAAGTAAGAAAGCAAGCCACCAGACTTGAATCATGGTCAGCCATGTGGGTGTCCAGCACCTTAACTACCATTCCACCTGCTGGCCATAAGAACGTTTTTATTCACAAAATATTGACAAAAAACAACCACACAAATAACCTTAGGGATTCTTTTAAAATTCCTAGTTAGAATCAAAAGCTTCACACTCGTACCTAACTGGTTTCTCTTTTTGTATTCTTTTCAAAATACTTCTTGCTTTATTACTTTTCAGGATCAATTTAGTTATATATACCTACACTTTTGGTTTCATGAATCTGTAAAAGAGCATATCTTTTCTATCACTTAAAGTTAATTAAAAATTGGGATCAGCAGATGGTGTAATGGCTATGTCACTGGACTCCCATGTAGTCAACTGTGATTTGAGTCCCAGACCCAGTGGCTTAAACTCACGCTGGGTGCGTGTGTGTGTGTGCCCAAGATCCCGAGAGGAGAATGGAGGAGAAGGGATTGTGGCATGGCCATCACCTCTGGAGGGTGATTTCTCACTTTCTGTCTCTTAGTCTCTGTCTCTCCAGCAAATGCATGTGCCCTATAGCAAAAATATCTCTTAAAAAATTAATTAAAAATTTAGACTTGGATGAATCATAGATTATTAATGATGAATTTTTCGGATTCTTAGAAATAACATTTTTTATTTTTTTGGAGAGTTTTTTTAAATTTTATTTTATTGGGAACCAGCAGTTAGCGTAATGGCTATGTCGCTGGACTCCCACGTAGTCGACCGCGGTTCGTGTCCCGGACCCGGTGGCTTAAAACTCACGCCGGGCGCGTGTGCGTGTGTGCCCAAGATCCCGAGAGGAGAATGGAGGAGAAGGGATTGCGGCGTGACCATCCCCGATTTCTCGCTTTCTGTCTCTATGTCTCTCTCTCTGTCTGTCTTGCGAGCGCACGCGCCCTACAGTGAAAATCTCCCCCCCCCCAAAAAAAAATTTTATTTTATTTATTTTAATTTTACCAGAGATACACACACACACACAAAGAGACAGAGAGAGAGAGAGAGAGAGAGAGAGAGAGAAAGCAAGCCACCAGGCCCGGTACTCGAACTGCAGTCAGCCATTTGGGAGTGTCCAGCACCTTATCCACCATGCCACCTGCTGGTCCCAACATTTTTGAATTTTAAATCACCAAAAAGAAAAAAAATTGAAGACTTATCTTTTTTCTTTAATTCCCAAAGTGTGCATGTGCTTGCCAGGGAGAAAGAAAGCACTCCCTAATGGAGGAATCATTCCCCTCAATGGGGCATGACCATGCCACAATCCTTCTTTCTTACATTTCTCCAAATTGTCAGGATCTGGGGCATGCGCACATGTCCAACATGTTTTTCAAGCTGCTGTGGCCAAGGTTCAAAGCATGGTCAGTCATGTGGGCCTGTGCTACAGGCCAGCCCTAGAGGCCTATCTTTACACAAACAGGAACAGCAATTTCTTTTAATTTCTGTCTCATGTTTAATGTATAGTACAATGGAAATTTTTTAGACTGAGAGTAATTTTACGCTAACTGCTAGTCCCGAAAAATAAATAAATATTTTTAAAAGGGGGAGCAAGAGGTGGCACAGTGCTTAAGGGCACTGGACTTCCACATGGCTGACTGTGGTTCAAGTGCTGGACCTGGAAGCCTGCTTTCTCACTCCCCCCACCCTCCTCTCTCTCTCTCTCTTGCTCTGTCCCTCTCTGGTCAATTTAAAATAAATAAATAAATAAATAGTTAAATAATTCTTTAAAAAGAAAAAAAGGGCTTTCCTAAATGGCGCCCACAGAAGCACTGTTAGAAGCTCACTCTCACAAACTGCTCTCCTCTTCCCTGCCCTTCAGTGGTAACTTCCGTGCAGGTTACAGGAGCTGGCCCCACTAGTTCATATTCAGAGACTAGTATCTCATTTGGTTCCTTAAATAGTATTACGAATGTGGTTCTGACTGATTGCTGAGCCACAGGTAGGCTGGTAGCCAAAACTCATGTTCTGGTCTAGAGACCCGTGCAGCAGCCATTCAGAGAAGGGTGCACCAGCCTGGGGAGTGCAGCCTGGTCCTGGGGATCACCTTTTGGTTTTTGTTCCCGATTCCTGGAACGTGCTTTTCTTCGAGAGAAAGCATGTTTAGAAGCTGAGAGGCGTTAGACAGGAGCCAAAGTGTGGTCCTCTGTGGTTTTGTATTTGTGAAATGGAAGGCTAAGACCTTTTCCCTTATAAATATAGAAAAATGCAGGGGCCAGCAGCTGGCATGGTGGTTAAGGCACTGAATTCCCACATGGTCAATTGACTTTCAAGTCCCAGACCTGGCACCTTGCTTTCCCACTTTCTCTTTCTCTCTCTCTCTCTCTGATGAGCACACATTCCCTATAGCAAAATAAATAACAATAATAAATAAAGTTAAATAAATAATTCTTTAAACAAGAATGTATTTTCAGAGGAGGGCAAAAAATGGGTGACATGTTAGCAGGTAAGTGGGGAAAGAGCACCACCAACATGCCACCTGCTGTCCCCAAAGGTCAAGAGTCTACCCTGATACTAGCAATTCCATCCCATCCCATGGTTCCTTCCAATTTCCTCTTTCCACGACTGTGCCTATGCCACAGTGAGAACCCTGGCTCCACTACTTCCTAGATGTTACTTCCAGACCCAGTCCCTACGTATAACCAGCTCGGCCTCTGTCACTGCCTCCTCCTCCACGTGGACGCCTCCGTCACTCACTCTGGACTCCAACACCCACACCGATTGCTGCTGCCACCCACTACATGGATGTCCCCCTCATCCTGACCTGAGCTCAGGGCCAGGAGACTCTCTTCCTCAGGCTTCGTCATGCCAGGAGGCCATCTCACACGATGCCCTCCTCGCCCTGCGTGTCCTCCAGCACAACGGCCCCCCCTGTGTCCTGGCATGGATGCTCACTGTGCTCGTCCCCCTCCACCCCCACCCCCCCCTGGCTTCTGGACTATGTTGTTCAGGAAGAAAGGGAAAAGAAGAGAAAAGGAAGCTCCCTCCTTCATTTGGTAAAATACAGAAAACAAAATTTCCCATTTTTCAGTGTATGGGGCTCTTTGTCACTAAGTACCTTCCCTCTGCTGCACAACTATCACCATCATCCATCCCCAGAATTCACTTTATCTTTTCCACGAAACTCTGTACCGACTGAACAACTCCCCATTCCCCCCTGCCCCTCTCCCACGCCTGGCAACCACCATTTTACTCTGTCCCTATGACTTTTACTACTTAGGTACCTCTAAGTGGAATCACTTAGCCTTTGTCCTTTTGTGACTGGTTTATTTCGTTCAGCATAATCCTCTCAAGGTTCACCCATGTTGTTGCATGTGTCAGAACTTTCTTCTTTTTCAATGCTGAATAATAATACACCATTATACATGAATATGCCACATTTTGTTTACC